AGGCTCCGCCTGGGGGGAGAAGCCCTTTTGGCTGAACAGGGAAGTCCAGGAAAACCTAAGGGCAAAGAAAGAGGGGGTAGCTACCAAGCAGCATACCTCCCTGGCTCACACTTGCAGGGAATCAGTTAGGAAGGCCAAAGCAGGATTAGAATTTAGACTGGCAACAAAAATTAAGGACAACAAAAAGTTCTTCAGGTATATAGAGAGCAAAAGGAAGGCACAGGGTAGCCTAGGACCCCCACAGGATAAACTAGGACAATTGGTGACAGAGAGGGGAGACAAAGCTGAGCTCTTCAGTGAGTTCTTTGCATTTGTATTCCTAGACACAAATGAAGACAAATCTCTCAGTTTGATCACAGATAGACACAGGAGAGACACCAGCCCACCAACTCTTAGTGCAAACTTGGTGAAGGGGCACTTGGAAGGGCTGGATGTGTTCAAATGAATTCATGAACTTCATCCAAGGGTGCTGAAGGAATTGGCCAGTGTTATAGCAGAGCCGCTGGCACAGCTGTTTGAGCACTCATGGTGCTACAGTTGGGTCCCAAAGGACAGGAAAAGGGCCTATTTTCAAGAAGGGGAGGAGGGAGGAACAGGGAAACTATAGGCCAGTTAGTCTCACCTCTGTCCTTGGGAAAACTCAGGAAGAAATCATTAAGGATCACATCTGTGGGAGCCCAGCAGGGGAAATAATGCTGAAAGGAAATCAGCATGGGTTCATTGCAGGTAGATCCTTCCTGACTAACCTTGTTTCTTTTTTATGACCAGGTCACATAATGCTTAGACGCAGGAATTGAGGTAGATGTCATCTGCCTAGACCTTAAGAAGGCCTTTGATACAGTATCTCATTCTGTTCTTGTAAATAAACTGACAGGCTGTGATGTAAATGATTACATGGTCATGTGGGTGGCGAACTGGCTTAGGGGTCACACCCAGGTAGTGGTGGTGGACAAGTCAATATTGACGTCAAAAGATGTGGGCAGTGGAGTCCCGCAAGGCTTGGTCCTTGGACCGGTGCAATTCAATGTCTTCATCAGTGACTGGGATGAGGGTGTGGAGAGCACCTTGTCCAAGTTTACAGATGATACCAAATTATGGGGCAAAGTTAACATACCAGAGGGTGGGGAATGGATCGAGGCAGATTTGGACAGGTCAGAAAAATGGGCAGAACAAAATAGGATGCAGTTCAATAAAGACAAGTGCAAAGTGCTGCACCTGGGCAAAAGAAACCACCAACAGACTTACAGGCTGGGGGATGACCTTCTCAGCAGCACAGCAGTGGAAAGGGATCTTGGAGTTCCTGGAGTAACTAGGAACAATGGCCACAAATTGATGGAGAGCAAATTTAGGTTGGACATTAGAAAGAACTTCTTCCCTGTTAGGGTTGCCAGAATCTGGAATGGACTTCCAAGGGAGGTGGTGCTCTCCCGTACCCTGGGGGTCTTCAAGAGGAGACTGGACAAGCACCTGGCTGGGGTCATCTGACCCCAGCACTCTTACCTGTCAGACCTGATGACTAGAAACTATGAAACTATGACCTACTGAGGTCCCTTCTGACCCTAACATCTATGAATCTATGAACCTATGAAATCCTTGGTTCTGGTCTCTGGCCCAGGGACTGCTTATGTATTTTGCTTTAGAGACATTGTATATCATATAAATATATAATATAATGCCTACAATATATAAATATAACTGGGAGCAGCAGTTAGATTAGAATCTCATAGAGTGTGCCCTTCTCACTGGGATGTAGAGTCATGTTCTGTCTTGCTTGCTTTCATTCATGAATCTTACATTTTTTTCTACACAGTGGAATGGCTTCAACAAGAGGGGTGGAGAGTGCTCTTCCACTAGGGTGACCATGTTTAACTGGGGCAGTCTCAGATTTCAGAGGCCAGTCCCAGCTGGCTGTTGAGAATTATGATAGGCATCTGGGAAATGCAGGGGCACAGGATGCAGCCTGGCTGGAAGTTAGAGAGGTGAGGAGCACCTTGTATCAGCCCCAGCCCCACCCCCACTGAGTTGTGGAGCATGGGAGGAGGGGGAGGCAGTATCTTGGATTTCCCAGATGATGTTCTGGATTTCCAGACTTTCCACGTGGCTAGCCTACCCTTCACCCATTCCCACTCTGCATATAGTCTGGTGGTTAAGGCACTCTTTTGGAAGGCAGGAGGTGTTGGTTTGAACCTCTTAGGCTGAGGAATGCCTAGAACCCAGGTCTACCACTCCCTAGACCGATTAAACCACCAGGTAATTATTAGGGGTGTGCGAAACGGGCCCTATTCGATCTGGATTTGGACTCAGCCTGAATCAGGGACAGTGATTCGATCCATTGATTTGGATAATTGTCCTCAATTCGATTCGACTGAATCTGAATCTGACAATTCAATGCTGATTTTGCGAATCAGCAATTTGGACATAAATACAGCTTTAAAAGTTTTTTCTATATACCTCGAGGTACCAGCACAGCTCATGATCACTGTGATGCTGGGGTGGGTGGAGCAGCGCAGGGGGCTCTTCAGCATGCTCAGCAGCAAACCTGGAAATGGACCAGAAGTACTTCTGGTCCACTTCTGGGAAATGTGCTGGCCCCCCCCCCACCCTGGCCTGATGATCAGCCACAGGGGGACCCCAGGTGCCCCCCCCCAGACCCAGGAGGCACCAGTCGCTGAGCCAGCAGGGGTGCGGGGGCCACACACTCCCCGATGGACCAGGAAATGGAGCGGAAGTGTTTCTGCTCCACTTCCAGATCTGCTGCTGAGCATGCTGCAGAGCCCGCCCCCCACCATGCTTCTATGGGATGCTGCATCTGCTCCAGCACTGCAGTGTTCAGAGCCCCTGTTACCTAGAGGTATGTAGAAAAAATATTTAAAGTTGTATCTACATCCGAATTGTCAAATCTCTCCAAATCAATTTGGAGAGTTCCAAACCGATTCAGAGAAATTAAAGGGTCCTCTGATTCGATTCAGATTCAAAGATTCGGCTACCAAATCAAGCCAAGTCTCTGCCAAATCGAATCAGGGACTGGAGCTTTGCACAGCCCTAGTGATTATATGAAAGATAGACATCACCACTGCCAGCCAGGGTTCAGACTGAAAATGACCATGGATCCTGTGGTTCCTACAGAGAACTCGGTGCTGTCAGTGTAGGCTTGGCATGTCTGGAACATGCCTACTGAATCAAGCCCCTCAGGAAACTTAGCAGTGTGGATCCCAAATGCTCTTAGGTGGACACTCAGCTCAGCCAAAGTGGTGACAGTCCTGGGCAGCAACAGCAGCAGAAGGACTTCAGGCACATAACTAACTTTAAAAAAATGTAGGCACCTCTTAGGGCTGAATTTTGTGGATTATTCATTTGGACTATGGCACCTAAATTCTACCCCAAGTCACACTTTAGGTGCTGATTGCTTGATTAGGACCACCCAGTAAACCAGTAGCAAAGCAGAGAGGTGACCCAAACCCTTCTAAGTCAGGCTAGTACCATAACCAATAGAGTAACTTTCACCTCCAGCATCTAATCAGAGAAAAAAAATGCCATTTTATGATTTATTTGACCAACCAGAAGTTATAATGTTCAGATTTAGAACATTTACATTCATTTCCTAGAATGAGAGATTCAAAATTACTCACAGACATACTGCAAGTTCAAATATGAGATGCATTCATCAGAAAAAATCATTTATTACGAATTGTTGTCTCGACTCCAATATTTGCATCTCATATACCTGACAGTCATTTTCCTCAGTGTGAGACAGAGAGTTTTTAAGACTAAACAAAAGAAACATCTGGGCCTACACCAACATACACACTCTTATTCCTTGCACACGTCACAGTAGCCTATGTTGGACGAACCTATGAATTGTTTTAATTAAAAGAGAAGGAAAATGTAGAAGAGGGGGATAGTCTGTCACCAAAGTTATTTATCATTGTTATGCTCTTACCATGATGAACTCTGGTAAGAGGATCCAGTCTTGCTGCATCAACTGTGATACAGAGAAGAGCTATTTCCCTTTTCCATCAGCCAGTCTCACCCTCTTTAATGGGACCCATACTGCAGCTTAAATGAACCTAGGGCTACACTAGAACCTGTGCTCATTACTTGAAATCTTACGTTCTGCACTGTCCATAACTTGCCATGATGTATAGTTGCTGTGAAGCTATATTGATACTCACTGGGTAGGACAATGGAAACAACCACCACCTTTTTTTCCCTGTATTGCATGTGTTCCTTATTATCAGGAATTGGGAATGTAATATTGATTGGGTCTTCTAGAATGTCAGTGCTTAATAACCCCATTAAATATAAAGTAGAACATATGTAGTGGAAGAAATGAAAGACTGATACTGTCTCCTTCAAGACAGATTAATCACAGTGTATTTCTAATTGCTGCCTGTTCCTTTGTAGCTTTAATTCACAAGAATGTAGATTTTTAGAGTGTTCTCAGCAGAAGGCATATGGACGAAGGTTGGAAAGATGATCACTTACAGATTTCTTTATTCACTTTCCCTGAAACTGCTTCTTTTTAACAGAGGATGGTTGTGAGCCTCAGATTCTGCTGCTAAGGCTATTGTTGCTGAGCTTTTTGTCACAGGAGGTGACTTTCAGAGCTGGAGAAAGGGAGTAAGATTAATAGAAAAAAGAAAATGGTCATAGGTGGTCCTTCAAAGCAAGCTAAAGATTTAGCTGGTGTGTCATGCTCAAATGTTTGCAGAAGCCTCCTTGGTTCTTAGACTTGCCTATGCTATGCATTGAAGATGACATCCACCCCAAGGTACAAGACTGGCAACAGGCATATGTACCATTTAAATCTAAATTGCACCAACATAAAAAGTACATGGGTCTTCAGTGGCTCAGATCTTGAGGGAAGGGTGAATTTCACTCGAGGTTTACTAACTTAATGTTTTCCATGCTGTTAATGAATATATATTTTTAAATAATTTTGATTCCTGTTTCCCTTTTTGGCCTGTGTGGGCAACACCATCCCTCTGCCATGCACCTAAGGAAGCTCCTACTACAATAGATTGTCTCACCAGGTGCAACATTTGCTGAATTGCAACAGCCTATGCCTCACAGTTGTGCACATAGAAACTGTGTCAAAGAGGAAAGTGCAGACCCCAGATGTTATAGTGCTAGTTTCTTTTGGGTGATGCTTATAGAAAAGCTGCTGCTGGAAATGATTACATGGCAAACAAAACCAACAAGTGCTGGACAAACAACTCTTACCTTCATGATTTGTACCTTTTGTTGAAGTGATGCCCGTTCACAGACAGAGAATCCTGAACCTGACGGACCTTTAGTTTCTCAAAGAATAGCAGGGTTGAGGTTGATATAAGACCTTGGTATGGTAGAGAAATAATAAATACTGAGAAAATATTGAACGCTGAGAAACAGCAGGAGCAGCGGGAGGGTAGGAGACGTTTTTTTTAATGTAAAAACATTTTTGTTCAGGCAATTAAAGGAGAAGATTAAGGGTCAAGACACTCCTGGCTCTACTAAAGGCTCCCTGCAAGACCCTGGGCAAATCAATACACTTTTTCTGTGCCTCATTTTACCCAGCTTGAAAAGCATTAAAATGGCAACACCACAGCCAGGATGCTCAGATGCTTAATTAAAAGCTTCCAACGGTGGAAAGAGGCTTGATACATGTAAAGTAATAATGAAGATAGCATGCATTTTTACAGAAGCTGCATTTTACATTGAGCTTGTCCTCACAAAATGACAGAGCCCCCAGCCCTAGAAGCCTGCTGTGCCTTCCAAACTGCCTGTTGAAAAGGCTCTACCCCACTGACCACCACTGGATTCTCTCAACAAAATCAATTAGCAATGGCAAAACCCCAGTCCCCAAAAGGTATTTAGGCACCAACTCCATTTGACTTCAGTTCAAGTTGGGAACCTGAATAGCTTTGAGGGTGTGAGCCAAAACCCTTTGTAGGCTTTACTGGGGCCGCAGCTCTAAAGTGTACTTTGTGATGGCCACGTAGTTTACGCTGAGTTTGCTGTTCAACCTCTTTGCACTAACTCTAGAATGTAATCTGAAAACCATATTATTTCTGTCAACATACCATATTCTGGCCCACATACAGCATTTATTCTTCAAATTTGCATTATGCACCCAACACAGAGCTGACTGTTTGTTCTGTGTTACTTTTTTCAATCTGCCTCTCCCTGAAAAAAGGCAGTGGTGCTCCATCTCCAGCCCGCAGGCCAGATCCAGCCCACAGAGTTGTGTCATCCAGCCAGAGGGTTGAACACCACTCAAGCACTATGCGGCGTTTGAAAGGTGCCTGTGATAGGCACACAAAAATCCTGAATAGGAATCCCACTGGCCTGCCCTTAGTTGAGAAATCTGCAAGGTAACACAGGGCTTATTCAAGTTAACTAAATGAATAAAATTCAATCACTCCCTCTGTTAAGAGGGGTGTACTGCTCACGAGGGGGAGTAGAGCCTGGATTAATACTGCTACAACATAAAAACTTATTTAACCATGTTCGTTTGACATCAAGAAGAAGGTAGGGCACCTTAGGGACTAATGGGGTCTCTTGAAGAACATAGTATCAATGGGGGCATGAAGAAATCACCCCAAGTGATCCTCTCAAGTGAAAGAACTTCATCAAGAGGATCCTGGGAATTCCTTTCAGCATGCAACTGGACAAAATTTAGTTCAGTTTAATTCTCACACAAAATGCACCCCAACAGGAGCAACAGGAATAAATAACTCTAGAAGTAAGACTTGAGCCCATGTTTTACCCAAGCAGTGACTGTGACACTAACTGGGCTACACTGGTAAACAGTAGCATTTTTCTGGCATGGGAAGAGGCATGAAAAAACTTTATTATCGGTGATGTGCAAAAATGACAGTCTCCCCACCTTGCAGCAGATTCCAGGCGGAGGGGAAAGTATACCAAATTCCAGCAGGTGCCATTCACTCCTGTTAGTTCAGTAAGTAGTTCTGTCTCCTGCTGCCTTGTCCACTTGCTGATTGCTTGAAGCTGCTTTCCTGCTATTCTCTCCATCTGCTGGGAGAGAGGGAGGGAGGGAGTCCTTCTGGTGCCTTGCCTTGTTCTTTAGGATTTTCCTTTGCCAGACGCACTGTTTCCCCACTGAGAGACTTAAAACTGGATTGTTTACATCAAAGAGTTTTAAACTGATTGGAGGAGAGCAGACGAATGAATGAAAGGAGGATATAATCTTCAAAGGTTTTTAGCAACATTGTCAATAAAGAGGATTGCTTTCTTCTCCTCCCTCCAACCAGATACGTGCACAGAGGAAAGAAATATAAATCAATTTTTGACCCAAACCACCTATCTTCCTGGGAAAAGCCTGGTATATTTACAGCCCTGTCATCTAAAAATGTGGCACACTCACAAAGCAGATTGTACAATTTGTCAGTATTTCAGGATCTGCCAATATTCATTGCAATCTTTAATTACAAGTTACCCATATCCAATGGTTCTTAACCTTTTTCGACTCAAGGCCCCCCTCATTAGACTGATAGCACCCCTCAGAAAATGCTAGCGCTTAGCTTTCACTTGTTTTTGGCTATGGAAAAGTAATAGGACAATTTTTCCATTGCAAGGAACTCAGAAAGACCACAGCAGGTCAGCATGTTTTTAACACTGTGGATTCCTATTTGAAATGCCTGGGTTTATCTTTTGAATCATGTTTCTACACCTAACAGTGATAACATTGCATGGCATACCACAACACCCTTAAAGGATTTCATAGCAGGCCCAGAGTGCCACAGCACCCTGTTTGCGAATCACTCCTCTGGTCCTTTCATATGTTTTTCTTGAGGGGAACCATGGTATGGAGGATCACTTTTAGCTCACCTAGAAAGGCCCCCAAAGCTAGAGACAGACATTCAAAAAGCCTGAGCCTGAATTGATTCAATCTTTGCAGGTTAGTCTAACTAGCTGCCGGGTGGGGAGGGGGCTGTCTGCAGTGTTGGAGAGGAAGGAGAAGGGGGAGAGTCCCTCTCTGGGGCTGGGCTGCACAGAGCCCCCCTCCCTACCCCACAGTGGTGGGAGGGGTGGAGGGGGGCTGCTTCACCCTGGCTGCAGTCCTCTGGTGGGAGTGGGAGAGGAATTAACCCCCTCCCTGCCCCCTGAGCCTTAACGGGGCCATGCTAGGATGGCTGTGGTTCCTGCTGGTGGAACAGGGAAGGGCACGGAATAAATCTCTTTCATGATTGTGGTCCCTGAGGCACCCTGACAGAGGTTGCTGCCCCTCCCCCCCTTCACTGTTCCAGGGGTGGGGGCAGGGGTATGGCCAGATGCCGTCCTGGCATGGCCCTGTTAAGGTGAAGGGGGCAGGTCTGGGGTTAATTCCTCTCTTTGTCCCTTCTGCCCCTGGGGACCACTGCTGGGATCTACCAGCCCCAGCCACTGCCTCCGTCACCTGCTGGCAAACCCTGGCTGTGGTGGGGAGGGAGAGGGGAAGGAGGGTGGAATTAACCCCCCTCCCTGCCCACTTTGCCTTAACGGGCCCATGCCAGGATGCCTCTGGCCGTGGCCCCCACCTCTGCTTGAGCTAAAGGGCAGAGGGGCGAGGCCAGCCCTGCTTTCTGGAGCAGAGAGCATAGTCCAGCCCAGCACTGCAGAGCATGCTGGGATGCTGGAGGACACTGGTTTAACTTAAACCAGGAAGGGGTCTAGGACGGAATTTGCATAAACTGGTTTGACCCAAATCAGTTAAGTCTGATACTACATTCAACCAGGTTTATCTTAAACCAGTTTCAGCCATTTTGAAACCTTTTTATGTGCACTGAACTTTTGTTCTGTTACAGGTTTAAACCAGTTTCTGATCACTTAAACTGTGATGTGTAAACTTAAATTATGTGTAATTTCTGCCCCTAGCCCAAATGACAATGAAAGAAATTTGATTGTAAGGGTTATTTTTGAGCAATGTGTCCCCATCTCAATTCCTTATCCTGTGATGTTAGGCAAATTTCCTGATTTGCTGAAATTAAACAGCTTATACTTGTGACCACTGCCAAATAGCATATTTCATCATTACAGCTGCAAAACAAAATGTCATCTATAGAAGCATTATTGACCAGAATAAAATAATTAAGAGAAATGAAGCAATTTATTGTCTCATTTCAAATAACAACAGAGTTATTTGAGGCAAGAAGAGCCAAATGGAGTGGACTGAGAAAACAACATTTATAATAATAACGATGCCTAGACACACTGTAACTCACCACCCTATGCTGTCTGATGGCTGCTGTGTTCCCTTATTTGTTGCCTTCTTCTTTGGTACTTACGTAGCCAAATGGTATGCATCACTAATTGATCTGTTTGCCTTTAATTACAATTAGAAATTAAATGTTGTTTGTAATGGAAATAGCATAGTAGAACATAGGCAACCTGACAATAAGAAATGTGTGATTTTTTTTTTTTAGTTCTTGTTCAGGGTTAAGGGATTCAAATAGGTATGAGGTATTGCTCCTTGATGCAGAGTGAATCAAACATGGCTACTTGGATTCAGCTCAGGCACTGCAAAAGTTGTGCAAATTGCCCTGTGAGTCAGACACTCTTTTCATCTTACTCAGCTGTAGGTGCCATGCAGGACTTTTGAAAGCAGGCAATTTAGTGCGGTTGATTTCTCAGATCCCTTGATGCAGGCTCTCACAAGACCCCAGAGCCCACCGCACTATTAAAGCAATGAAACTAGCATTATTGCATTGGCTGAAGAATACACCTTCCCTGGATTTTACAGTGCCTTTCATCCAGAAAGCCTGTCTCTCTCTTCCAGCTGCAGTGGAGTCAATTATTGCGTGGGACATGGGAGCCATTACAGAACAGTTTTTAAAGGAGAAATGTATACATTCTTCTGCCAGGCACCCGATGACTGTAACAAAGGCAAGGTTCAAATTTAGGGGTTTTACTTTAACTTTAAAACTTAGCTCAAGCCCCCACCCAGAAACCTGGGAAAACACATTTTAACCAGAGGTTTGAAGGTGAACAACATTCCCCACTTGCAAGCAAACATTTAAACTAAACATGGTTTATTACAAGGGGGAAAAGGGAGCAAACATGCACTTTAAAGACACCATTAGCTGTTAAGCAGTAAGTGAAACCTCAACCCGATTAAAGTCACAGTCACCAGCAAACAAATGCAGGAGCTACTACGTAGCCCAGCAGTTGGGAAGGGAAACTCTCCCAGGAATGCAGACCCCTGCAGAATGCACAGTGAGTGTGGACTTATCAGTGACCTAGATATGACTTTGCATTAAGCACATTTGTATGCTACAAACTTCCCAGATTTGGAAGGGAGGGACAGTGGACATAAGTCTTATCCACCTGCCCTCTGCTATGGGACATTTTAACCCCAGACAATGAATCTATGCCTACAAACAATGAAAACAGGTGCAAGTAGCCCCCCAAACATATACACTAATGAGGCTATGCAGATACAGCATGCGCAGTTACCATCTGAGAACAGTGTGCTTACTCTTCTGGCGCTGCAGGCCGTATGAGTGGCACTTTCTTTCCCTTGGGAGCCCTGAGATGGCTGTGCAGCACTTGGGAGCCCTGCCTCCCTGCCCAGCAGCAGCAGAGAGCACAACTCCAATGGTGCTGCCACCCCTGCTGCTGCTGGGCAGGCAGGGGGCACCTTGCCATGGCACAGCTGGTCCAGGACCCCCAGGGGCAGGGCAGCAGGTTGGAGAGCCCTAAGCCCACAGTGGGCAGCCTGCATCTGCCCCTGCCCTGCACACAAATTGGGGGGGGCACGTGCTCCCCATGCCCCCTGGACAAGCTGCCCACAGCTCTGTCCTGCTCCCTGCCCGAACCCCATGCACCACCCTGGCTGGGCAGTGCCTCCCACCCCTGCCCCATTCCCTTCCTTACCATTGGGGTCTCAATCTGCACGCACACCCCATCCCCATGCCCCTTCCCACCCAGAGATTTACATGAAGGGAGCTTCTCTCAGTACTTCCTGGCTATATTTCCCAGCCATGCGCAGGTGTGCACATGCACGTGGCAGCCCCCGTGTCCCACTCCGAGCCGTGCCTTGCAGACTGGAACACTGCCAGCCTGCAACAGAAAACTCACTCTTTCCCAATCTTGCAGACACTGCAAATCCAACACAAATGCTGTCCCAGAGTCATGCAGCCTGGAATCAGGACTTGAGGTTCCCATGTGGGACTGTCCCATCTAATTAAGGACGGGTGGTAACCCTATATGCAGGTCATGGGCTTCTCCTTGGATCTAGAAATTTGGTAGTCATTACTACCCTGCTGCCATATTTTTGGATCTGTGTGGAGCCCCTGGGCTAAACAACTTGGTGGTGGGGGCTGGATCTGGCCTGTGGACCAGGGGTTGAAGACCCTGTTACAGGACATAACCATAGTTAAACATGCAGAATAGAAACAGGGTTACATCCATAGGCAACACATAGGGGGGCACATGCCCCTCTTGAGATTGGACCTTGCCAGGGAGTGGGGTGCAATGGCCGGTGCCCCCCCTGAGATTGTGGGGGCACTGAGAGACGCGCCAGTGGCACTTCTGCGTTTTCTGCCAGCACTTCTGCCGGCGGCGGCAATCATCCACTGAGGGACCCTTCCCCGGTTTGTGATCGGCTGCTGGTGCCCCCCAGTATCAGGTGGCACTAGTCCCCCATGGTTACATCTAAATATATTTTATAGGTGTAACAAAGCAAGGGTGGGAAAT